CAGCCCTGCAAAGCGGGAGCCCCGGCCCGGCCTCCTGCGCGGTGGGTAGTTTTCCCCTTCTTTTCTCTGACCAAACCGCCGCCGAGGTTGCCGTTTCAACAAGTTTGTAGCTGGTCGTTTGCATTTTTTTTTTAATACGAATCTTGATTTTCTTTTTCTTTGTGTGGCCTTTTAAAAAATGTATATGGAGCCCTGGCTTCCCTTACTCCATCACCTCCTCTCCCAGCTAATTAGTCTGAGTAATCCGAGAGCTTTTGGATTGTAAGACCCCGGGAGGAAAAGTGTCTTTTCAAAGTTCATAAAGTTGTTGCCTCTTTCCCCGTGCAGATTTTCTCAGTCTCCCTGCGCCATAATAGCCCTGAATTTTAGCAAGTGTAATTGGGGGAAATGGAGTTGAATTTCAAGTGGAAATGCTTTTCTTTCTCGAGTGCTAAAACCTGGCCCTTCAGTCTTGAGTGATTTCTAGAAAGTTTAGAAACAAAGTGAATGTGCTTTCTTTCTTTCTTCATTCCCCATCTGCTCCAAAGCTCTCTAAGCCATTTTGGATGTTTAGCTGGAACTTGGGAAGGTTTGAAGAGGGGCAGGAGCAGAAAATGAAATGAAAGCAAAGCGCTTGAAAAGTCCAGCGAGCACTCGGGAATAATAGCAGTTGCCGTTGACATTACATTTTTTACAGCCTGTGACCTTCTCGGGCGTCTGAAGGCGATTTGATTAGCTGTTATCTTACTCGGCCCTGGAGAGTAAAACTTTGTCACCCTAATTGGTAATTACTCTCTGGCCCCAGGGCAGGAGGAGGGACGGAGCTTCTCCCCTGCCCTTCTAGGAGATGGGTTTTGAAAATTAGTAAAAGCAACTATGGCCTGGGAAGCTGGGCCTGTGCTGGTGGCTGGGAGGAGGACAGTGGCCTTACAGGGAGATTTCTGGGGCCTCCTGCACTCTGCATGTGGCTGTGCGGCCTGCAGGGCAGCACAGATCCCCAGCCGGGTCGGGGGCTCGGGCTGCGGCCAGTTGGGTCTCTGTGTCCCACACCCTGCTTCCCGGGTTGCTTTCACGCAAAGTGTTAATGATCACTTAAGTAATTAGATAGCTTCTTAGCCGAGAGCTGGTGAGAAGGGAGCAGCAGAACCGGAACTTGAAATGTTATCACCTTCCCAGCTGCTTCGAAAATTAATCGGAGAGGCCTATCAGGGATCTGCTAGAGAATTTTTTAAAAATGGCACCAAGAACGTTCCAGTTGGGAAGGGGCATCCGTTTGTGCTTGCCTGCAGCATGGCAATGGCCTGCAGTTCAGGAAGTTTCACCCTGCAAAGGAACCCCTCCCCCTCTGCCTGCTGCCTCTGGGCTTGGGCCCCACATCTGTAGGGAGGGACCTGTGGCAGGAGTGGGGTTTCTTCCCACTGGGCCATGGCTGGAGCTGGGCCTGGAGAGGTGGGAGGGAGGCGATAGGGAGACAGCTTGGCTGGGCTGGTCCACTTGGGGGCTGGTGGTTACCAGGCCAAGATCAGACGCCGAGAAAAAGTCCGTGGCGAGGTTTGTTTTTCTGGATTTAAGCTGCCTCCCAGTTAGTTAAAAATTAGACTACAAACGGCTTGAGAGAAAAATGTGCTTCTTGAAGCTGTGCTGCCAGGCGGGCAACATTAGAATCATCACAGGCCAGGAGGAAAAACGATAATTTTTTGAAAGCGGACAGAAGTGACGCTGTGGCTATATTGTTATTTCCCCTCTTTCGGGGTGAACCTCTTGAACAGGCTCTTTATTGTTACTCTCCTTTCCCAGTGGGGCTCCCCACAGCGCCCTTGTATCTTTTACTGCCCAACAACTCACACCAGTAACACAATTACCCCAGATATTTATAACGAGGAATTATGTTTCTGTTTTCTCCTCTCCCAGGAAGGCGGGAGGGGCGGCGGAGGTTGAGGCTGGGGGCAATTTGGTCAGCACTGGGGAGAAGGTCCCCTGCTCCCCGCAAGCTGGCCAGTCGTGGGTGTGTTGTACTGGAAGCTGCGTTGCCGGCTGGGAGCCTGGGTTTTGCTCGGGCTGAGGGAGAGCTGGAGAATAGCAGCCATTGTTCATGTCTGAGGCTCTGTGGACCACGCTTACCCCCTCCTGTTCGTACTTCTTAAAGCAGCGAGCCGAGGTAGACAGAGTGTCACTGTGCAGGAGAAGGGGGACAATCTAGACACCCAAAGCTCCAGGAGTGAGGTGTGGGGGAGGTGGGGCTTGCAGTTTGCTTGCAGAGCTCCAGAAGGGCTGGGAGGCAGGTGGAGGGGGCTGTCCGGAAGCCTTTTGGGGGGGGTTAGCCCAGATAGAGGGGTAAGCAGAGACTTGGGCACTGGGGGCCTTGGGGCCACTGAGGTGGTGGAGTCTTCGTGGAAGGAGGGCGTGTGGCCCTCTGCCTTTGTTCAACCTGTGCCTGACGGCTGGGAGCTGTGGGGTTCTTGGAGAGGCCCTTCCTTGGACCTCCAAACTCTGGGTGTCGCCCCTTCCTCCCCTCCTTTACCTCCCCGTTTCTCCGCCTCCCCTGGTTTCACTTCCCCTCTTCCTTTCCCAGGATCTTGATGTTTTTGCAAAGTGAAACCCTAACTGTTAAGATTCTCCAGTTCTCCCATCCCAAACCAAAGCGCCCTTCTCTACAGGCTGAGGCTTCCTGTGGGATGGGCCACTGGAAATGTGGGTGCACTGCTGGGATTTGGGGTCTCCTGGCAGAAGGGTTGAGCCCTGAAGCCCATTTGCCCAGGATTGGAACTCAAGGGCTGTCCACCCACCAGAGCTTTTCGCCCGCAGTTTCACCTCCCTTCTCTCCCTCTGTTTTGTCTTAGGGGGAAGACTTTAGGGGCGCGCAGATGTGCAAAGCCCCTTATTCGGAGAGCAGACTGCCGTCCCTGATTTCAGGCAAGTTTTGCAGTGCTGCCTTGGGCTGTGAAACCCGAAAGAGTCCAAACAAACTGTCAGAATATTTCTGCATTTGGGTTCAGATAGAAGAAAAAATTCAGTCAGGTCATGGTTTCTCCTGATGAGAGGACCAGGCCAGACTGGACTGGAAATATGGGGGTGTCTTATTTGCAGCTCTAAGGGGAGCTTCTGCCTGTGACGGGAGGGAGAGGTAGACACCCTCAGATGGTCCCAGGCCCTAGAGAGGACCCGGTTCTGAATAAGGAGGTTTGGCCGTGGGACCCAGATTGCGCTGGGTAGGGAGGCAGGCGGCGCAGTGCTGGGTCTGGGTCTAACTCCTGCTTTCTTGCTGACAGAGCCCTGCACTGCAGCCCCGAGGGACCCCGAGGCCCCCCGCCAGCGCCAGCATGCAGAACAGTAAGTGCCAGGCCTGGGACAGCAGGGGACCCTCTGGGAGGGCAGCAGGGGCTGGGAAGCCTGGAGGAGACACCCCATCCCCCCAATCCTGTAACTCTCACCCCTCCCCGCCTGCCCGGGCTCTGACCCCAGAGAGGGGCCGGCGCGCGGGGCGGGGCGAGCTGGGAGCTGGAGGCCCCGG